TTTTCTTGGGGAGGGGGGGGTGCCCTTTCGAGTTCATTTGCCGCTCTCCTCCTCCCCTCCACAGTGTAGTAGTAGTAGTAGTAGTAGTCGTAGTAGTAGTAGTAGTAGTAGTAGTAGTAGTAGTAGTACAGTAGTAGTAGTAGTAGTAGTAGTAGTAGTAGTACAGTAGTAGTAGTAGTAGTAGTAGTAGTAGTAGTAGTAGTAGTAGTAGTAGTAGTAGTAGTAGTAGTAGTAGTAGTAGTAGTAGTAGTAGTAGTAGTAGTAGTAGTAGTAGTAGTAGTAGTAGTAGTAGTAAGTAGTAGTAGTAGTAGTAGTACAGTAGTAGTAGTAGTAGTAGTAGTAGTACTAGTACTAGTATTACCATAGTAGTAGTAGTAGTACAGTAGTACCAGTACCACCTGTATTTATAATACCACTACCCGTTTCCTACCACTACTACTAATATAGGCACAACAAATGCAACTTAATCAACCGAAAATGCAATGAAAAAAGAATCAGTGAGAGGAAAAAAGAGAAAAGGACCGAAAACGAGAAGAACAGAGATAGAGAAGAGAGGGGGGTAGGCAACAGGAAGGAAAACGACTAAGGAAAAAAAAGGAAAGTATTAAAAACGTCACATGACACATGGCGCGTGACAAGGAAGAAAGAACTCTCCGGTTCAGTCATGACACGAATCTTTATCAAAATGGCCTTATGACGTCATGCCTGTCTTTTCGTAACCCATCCACCCCCCTCCTCTCCCCCAACCCCCCTCCTCTCATCTCCACCATTTACCAGCCGCAAAGTGCTTTGGCTAATTTATATTCTCCCTTTCCCTCTCCTTCCCCCCCTCTCTCATTCTCCCTCTCCTCTCTCTTTCTCCCTCCCTCTCTCCTTCTCCATCTCCTTTTCATCTACTCCTCCTCCCCCTCTTCCTCTCCTCTCCCTCCCTCTCTCCTTCTCATCTACCTCCCTCCTCCTTCTCCCCCTCTCTCCTCTTCTTCCCTCTCCCTCTCCCTCTCCTCTACCCTCCCTCTCTTCTCCTTCTCCCCTCTCCTCTCCACCCTCTCTCTTTCTCCCCTCCCCTCCTCTCCTCCTCCTCCTCCCTCTCCCTTCCCACATCTGCCCTCAATCTTCATCGAATATAACAAAACCCATATTCCGTATTACATATTCTTATCAAAATCTGACAACCTCCTTACACCACTTTACGTATAACCTCATATCGATTTCTTTTATCGACTAATAATAAATAATCATTCGACAAATTATTATTATTAAGTACCGCCAGACATCTCACAAGAAATACAATAAAAAATAATAAAAAAAAAATCTATTCCCAAACAATGGCTATCCTGTTGATATCCCTTTATCAATTCTAGGAAAAAAATACCGATTTTTTTATAGGTCATAAATCTCCCTTATGTCATTTTACATAAACCCTAAACTTCTTCCATTCATATATACGAGAAAAAAAACACACCTGTAAAAAAAAAAATCTTCGACCACAGCGTCATTCCAGTCTATACATAGCACAGGCGTTCGCTCAGGTGCTCAGGTGTGCGATCCGAATGCATGCAAGCTCGAGCGGTCGTACCCTTGGGGAGTCGCATGCACAGACACGGACAATTCACACCAGACGCAGACGCAGAAAAGAGACTAAAAGGCAGGCATGCAGGTAGATGCTGGCAGATATCCATACACGCGCACAGAATAAATGCAAATATACATGCACACGCACGCACACGAACACGAACACGCACTCACACTCATACTCATACATTCACACTCACACTCACACACACACACACACACACACACACACACACACACACACACACACACACACACACACACACACACACACACACACACACACACACACACACACACACACATCCACCCACCCACCCACCCACCCACTCACTCACATTCACACACCACACAACAAAAACTTCTGCACACGATCCAACACCGCCGCACACCACACCACACCGTTGGGATCGGCGGCGATAGCAGTAGCAGCGACGCCGGTCACGAACAGTTGGTATCAATCCGGTAATATCGCGGCGAATGGTCGAGCTTAAAGGTACGTAGACGCTGTGGTGGTATCGACAGGCGCACTGGGTATCGGTATCTTCATCTCCCAACGATCGGGTGGGAGAAATATGGGGAAAAGGGGGTGAGGAGGGGGTTGGGGGGAGAGAGAGAGAGGGTAAGCCTCGCGCCCACCCGTTATCATCACGCACACCCTGTATTGTTGGCCCTGAAGTCACCGCCTCCGTCATGGTCGCTGTCATCCTCGTCACTTCGCATTGTCGTGGACGCGTTTGAGCCTCGCGGGTCATCTTCGCCAGGTCGTCAGGTCGTCAGGTCATCGTCGTCATCGTTGTCTTAATCCTCCTCCTCCTTCTCCTCCTCTTTTTCTTCATTCTCATCCTCAAGCTCATCCTTATCATCTTCAAGCTCATCCTTCCCATCCTCGTTCACATCCTTCCCATCCTCAACCTCTTCCTTCTCATCCTTCTTTTGATCCTCAACCTCATCATCATTTTCTGCTTCTTTTTCTTCTTCTTCTTCTTCTCCCTCTCCTCCCTATTCTCTCTCCTCCTCCTACTCTCTCTCCTCCTCCTTCCACTCCCCCCTTCTCCTTCTCCTCCTCCCACTCCCACCCCTCCCACTCCTTCCCCGGTGATGATGATGCAGGATATCGAGGCTATGGACCCCGTCGGAGATCTCAGCTCGGGGATCCTCGTGCTCCAGGTGGGTTCCACACGCACTCAGGTACTCAAATACACCAAGTATATTCTCACGCGGTATGCAAGTATACGTATACACACATCCGTCTACACACAGGTGAATGCATAATGGAAGCATGCATGTATAAATGTGTATGCAGACATACACACACATACATATGCACGCACAAGAGCGCGCGCGCGCACATACATACACACACACACACACACACACACACACACACACAACACACACACAACACACACACACACACACACACACTATGTATGTATATGTATATATATATGTACATGTATATATATATATATATATATATATATATATATATATATATATATATATATATATATATATATATACACACACACACATGTATATATGTGTGTATATATATATATATATATATATATATATATATATATATATATATATATATATATACACACACACATGTATATATGTGTGTGTGTATATATATATATATATATATATATATATATATATATATATAATATATATATATACACACACACACACACACACATGTATATATGTGTGTATATATATATTATATATATATATATATATATATATATATATATATACACACACACACACACATGTATATATGTGTGTGTATATATATATATATATATATATATATATATATATATATATATATATATATATATATATATATATATATATATACATATATATATATACACATATATATGTGTGTATATATATATATATATATATATATATATATATATATAATATATATATATATATATATATATACACACACATATGTATATGTTGTGTATATATATATATATATATATATATATATATATATATATATATAATATATATATATATACACACACACACATGTATATATGTGTGTGTATGTATATATATATATATATATATATATATATATATATATATATATATATATATATACATGTATATATATATATATATATATATATATATATATATATATATATTATATATATATATATATATATATATATATATATATATATATATATATATATATATATATATATATATATATATATACACACACACACATGTATATATGTGTGTGTGTGTATATATATATATATATATATATATATATATATATATATATATATATATATATATATACACACACACACACACACACATGTATATATGTGTGTATATATATATATATATATATATATATATATATATATATATATATATATATATATATATATATATATACACACACATGTATATATGTGTATATATATATATATATATATATATATATATATATATATATATATATATATATATATACACATGTGTGTGTGTGTGTGTGTGTGTGTGTGTGTGTGTGTGTGTGTGTGTGTGTGTGTGTGTGTGTGTGTGTGTGTGTGTGTGTGTGTGTGTGTGTGTGTGTTTCCAATTATATTCAGAAATCATGATATTTACCGATATCAAGGGCGTATTTCCCGTTCCTCCACTATGCCCCCCCCCCCCCCCGCCAGCTCCACTTGCTCAAATAACGATGCCACAGACTTTTCGGCACTTAATTACATATTTGACTGGGATTAAGCAATTGGAAAGATAAACAAACAAAAACAAATATTGCTCCCCCAACTCTTCTCTACCTGCATCCATATTCAGTCATCTATGCTAACTCTTTCTATCGAAAAAATGGACATTTCCAAAAACATATTGTCATTAAGATATCGGACTATCGGCCATTAAGATAAAAAAACATATATTATCTTATCGCGGGTCAATGCTGCCCATCGAGACAATACCGGATGAGGGTGTTTTTCCCTATCAGTAGGTCGTTATCGTTATCAGTGGGTCATTAACGTGTCTATTAGGGCATGGGATGATAGAGAGCCCTACCGATGGCTAGAACACGTGAAAGTTAAGGTAACAGCTGATTTGTTTACCGTATCAGCTGAATTCTCTACAGTAACAGCGAATTCATTTAGCTTACCCTCCTCTATGCTTTTTTGGGGGATAATATACTATATTTCTTTGACACTATGATTCATTTTATCAATACTAATTTTCATTTCTTATATATTTTTTGCCTTGAATCTATTTATATATACTGTGGTATTTCCCCTTTCTTAGTATTATTACTTGTATATCTGCACACAGTTAGATCCTCCATTACTTTTTTAAGTTTAAGTCTTTACCTTGGGTATTTTTTCTAGCCTCTCCCATCCCTTCTATGGCTTCTTGCTCACTTCCCTTTTACTTTTATTTCCTTCGCCTAGTTCTGTTAACAACACCTCCCGGTTTCAAAGTATTATTCATTTATTTTTCTAATAGCATTTCTTTATTTCTTTCGTATCCACTTTCCATTTTTTATATCTCGTTTTACATGTCATTCGCAATTCCTTCCCAAATTAGACTAGTTTAAGCCACCTTTCTTAAAATAGGCCTACATAAAGGAAAAAAAAAATGTCCTTACCTTGGGGGAAGCTGGACGTCGCGTGGCAACCGTAGTAATATTCAGAGGGTCAGCTGTCGTTGCAGCGGCAGGAGAGGCAGGGGGCAGGGGCGTCGAGGGTGCAGGCACTGAAGGATTGGCACGTGACGAGGCTTGCGGGTCACTCGTGGCATTCGCAGTGCCTGAGGGAAATGGGTAAGGGGTTGAGAGAGAGAGTGGCAGTGAGTGTGTGTGTATGAGTGTAAGAGTGAGAATAAGAGTGTAAGGGTGTGGGTGTAAGGGTGAGTGTAAGAGTGAAAGACAGAGAGAGAGGCGTGGTCAATAATGGGTTTATTTTCCGTAGATTTATACCTCAACCTTATTTGCATTTTCCTCATCTCTGTTGTATTTAATTTACATATTTTAGGCTACACGAAGTTCAGTATCCTTCCCTTGTGTGGTGTGGGAATTTTCATAAATAAACCTATATTGAATCGTTCATCGTTAAACATGAGAAATAAACAATTCAGCATGTATGTATATGTATGCTGTCTGAATTTTACTATGAATGGATTGTTATTCCAGCTGTCACTGAAAGGGAAGGTCAGTTTATTACACAGATAGATGAATAGATGGATAAATAGACATAGATAAATGTAGATAAACAGATATAAGATCAAGCTCACCTTGGTCGCGTGGTGTCCCGGTCCGTCTTGACCTGGCACGAGCTCTGGCGCCTAAACCCGTGGCGTCGCTCTCGCGCAAGGACCTTGACGACGACGACGACGACCGGCGCGCGAGAGAGTCGTCCGGCGCCGCGTGACCGTCCCGATGGTGGTTGTTGTCTAGATGCCCATCCTCGGAGTGGCGATGGTCGTCGTGGAAGCGGTCGTCGATGTGGCCGCCGAGGAGGTCGTGCGGGTCGCCGAGGTGATTGCTGCGCGGGTGGTCGACGACGACGACGGTGGAATACGGGTCGTCCGCCCTGCCGTCTAGTTTGGGCTCATCGCCGTGGTTGCGGCCGTCGCTGTCCGTCTGGTGGTCCTTCTGCCTCCGGTTGTGGTCGTCCGGGCTGTGATCGTGGGTCACGTGGTCATCGTGTGCGTGGTGGTGGTCGTCGTGGAAGTGGTCCTCCTCCTCCGGGTCGTCCTTCCTCGTCGTCGGTGAGCCGAGAGCGGCGTCGGGGTGGTTCTGGTGGTCGTGGGTGTGTTGGGGATGGTCGTTGTCGTCCTCGAAGTGGAGGCCGAGGCTGAGCAGGAGCTTGTGTAGGCCCTCGGGGGTGAGGACGTCCCCCTGGCCGTACCTGCGGAAGAGCTCTCTCAGGTGTGGGTTCTCGAAAGCGGCCTGGCGCTCAGCGGGAGTGCCCACGGCAGAGGGCGTAGGGCACGGCCTTGGCGAAGGGCTCGGCGGCGGCGACGAGAGGACGGCGAGAGACAGCAGCAGCACCAGCAGTACCACGATGCGCCACGACTTCGCCGCTTTCGCCATCTGAAAAGCCACCGGAGCGTGACACGGGCGACGCGCTGCCTGGGCTCACCTGCTCACGGAGCACAACAGACGCGGCGGCGACAGAAACAGCGACGAAATCAGCGACAGCAGCAGTAGAAAGAGCGACGGCGACGGTAACAGCAGAGGCAGCTACGACGGCGGCAGCAGCAGTAGTATCAGCAAGAGCAGCGAGCGACGTGGTGGCTTCTGATGGCGTTGGCAGCAGCGACGTGGTGCGTGTGATGCGGGTACCGAGGTCTCCTCCTCTCCTACTCTCCTCACCTACTCCCCTACCGGAGCCCCCCAGACCCGACATTCACCTGCGGGTACGAGGAAACCAGGATTAGATGCCCATTTAAATATGGCTATAATGAATGGCTGCATTTGTAGGTCAACTCTCCAATATTTCTAACACCTACGAGCATTCTGGTATGTCATGAGAGTACTGTTCACCCGCCCGCGGCTCGTCCGGACAGATTCGAAAAATGATTGCCGTTATGTTTATAAAGATGCGTCGGTGAAAACGAGACGGAGATATCAATAAACTTTTAAGTATAATGAGATCAAACCTTATTTAGAGTTTTCAAACTTTCGACAATGATATTTTCAGAAACAATACAAACAGCAATCTTTAAGATTTTGGTGATTGCTTCATAGAGTTAGCAAAAACAAAACTGTATCGTTCAATCTGATACTAAACAAACTGATGAAAATACAGGACGTTCGTTGACACGTTCAAAAGGACGAGGGAGGAGGGAAAAGGATGCAGGGTGAAGGAGAAGGGAAGAGGGAGCAGGCTGAAGGTGGGGAGGAACAGTGAGAGAGAGTGGAGGGAGTGACGAAAGTGGAAAAAGAATAGAGCGGAGCGAAGAGAGAAAACGAGGGACAAGGAAAGAATAAGGAGGGAGAAGGGAGAACGGAAGTGAAAGCGAGGACGAGTGAGGATCGAAGAGGAAAGAACGAGGAGGGATACGACAGGCGAAAGAGGGTACAAAGTGCAGGAAAAAATGGTGAGGGAAAAGAGAGAACAGAAGAAGAGGAGAGTGTAATGAGGTGTGAGGAGGGAGAAGAAAGAAGGGGAAAGGGCTTGATGAAGAAGAGAGAAGAAGGAGAAGCAAATAAGGGGAAAGCATGAGGAGGAGAAAGGAGAAAGAGGATAAAGAATGTGATGAAGAGGAGGAAAGAGGAAAGAGGGTCTGATGAAGAGGATAGAAGGGTAGATGGTGTGATGAAGAGGATAGAAGGGGAGAGGGTGTGATGAAGATGAGAAAGGAGGAGGGAAGATAGAGGAACAGGAGAAAAAGGGCGTGATAAAGATGAGAAAGGAAAGAAGATGTAAGAGCTGGAAAGAGGAAGAAGGGTGTGATGAAGAGCAGGGAATAAGGAAAACGAGGGAAGTAAGAGGAGGAAAGGAAGATGACATTGGAAGAGGATGAAAGAAGGGAGAAGAATCCCAGGCGGCGAACGCAATCCCCCCGCTCCACTTAAAAGGCCTTAAAGGAGCAAAGAATCTCCCCCTTAACCCCCCTCCTCCCTGCATTGTGTTTCTTGGCCTTATCTCTCACCCGCGATAAGTGTAGCTGCTCCGAGATACTACCGATCGCCTCCGTACTCCTCTTTATAAGGAAAAAAATGAAGGAAAATAGTCGTCTTAGGATGACACGGAACCACTTTCGTAAAATCATCTCCTAAAATACTTTGGATAAAATTCGGTTTACAGGCGCATAAGATATCAGTTATTTCAGATTATTCTCGACCCATCTTCTAATCTTTTGCGTCCTCTTGTTTAATCTATTGTTCTCTTTTATTTTTTCCTCCTATCAGACATTCTTTCTTGTCTCATTATCCTTGATTCGGGTTTTCTGTCTGTCTCTGTATCTGCCTCTCGTTTTTTTCTCTAGCTTTTTTGTCTCTCTCTCTAACCTCTCTTCTCCCTCTCACCCTCCACCCCCCACTCACTCACTCTCTCTCTCTCTCTCTCTCTCTCTCTCTCTCTCTCTCTCTCTCTCTCTCTCTCTCTCTCTCTCTCTCTCTCTCTCTCTCTCTCTCTCTCTCTCTCTCTCTCTCTCTCTCTGTCTTTTACTCTCCCTCTCTCTCTAACCTCTCTTCTCCCTCTCATCCCTCTCTCTCCTCTCCTCTCTCTCCTTCCCTCTCCCCTCTCCCCTCTCTCCTCTCTTTTTCTCCTCCTCTCTCTCCTCTCTTTTCTCCTCCCTTCTCGCTTCTCCCTGCCCCCCCTCCCTTTCTCTCTCTATCTACTCTTCTCTTCTCTTCTCTTTTCTTCTCTTATCTCGCTCCCCCTCCCCCCTCTCTCTCTTCTCTTCTCTCTTCTCTTGCACAATCATGCTCCTCTTTCCTCTACCCCCCTACCCCCGCTACCCCATCGCATGAAGCCCCTTGATTTATTCCATGTTCAATGACCCAAATACTAACAGGATAAACACACACACACGCACACACTCACACACGCACACGCATTCACACACGCACTCACACACACACACACACGCACTCACACACACACACACACACACACACACAACACACGCACTCACACACGCACACACACACACGCACACACACACCACCACGCACGCACGCACACCACACGCACACTCACATGCACACACACACACGCACTTACACACACACGCACACACACACACACACACAAAACGCACTCACACACACACGCACGCACTCACACACACACGCACTCACACACGCACCACTCACACACACACACGCACTCACACACGCACTCACGCACACGCACGCACTCACGCACTCACACACGCACTCACTCACACACACACGCACACTACAGTTACTCGCATATTCAACCGCATTGGCGAATATTCGCTCGCACACTCGATATTCGCCTATCGGACGCTGAGCCAAGCTAGCAGCCACAAGGGAATTCTCCAGATTATCTGCCTTAATGACAAAATTTCCTATTTCTTTCCCCTAGTTTTTTCCCCTATTTTTTCCCCTTTGTTACTAGCAACCTAGTAACATGGAAAAAAAAGGATGGAAGCGTGTTCATTAAATTTTATTCCGGCGGCTGAAACTCGATGTTATTAAAACGGGATGTTTGCACTGGCATTCGTGTTCGCGAAAACTGAAAACTGAAAATTCAATAACTGACATTCATACTATCACTAACCCCCCCCCCCCCCCATCACTAACCCCCCATACCCCAAGCCTCACATACATACTAGATGAATTAATATATTAAGTAAGAAAACAATTGCGTGTAGGTATCATTAGTGCATGGGATTCGATCATTTTGAAAAGGTTCCCGGATCTCTATAAATAGCATTAGTATAATAATAATTAATTTGTCAACAACGTGTTCAGGAAGGCATAGTATGACAAGGATGAACCAACCACCACTAACCCACATGTGAAATATATATGTATATACATGATGATAATAATAACAACAGTCCATAAATTAATTAATTATATACATGATGATAATAATAACAACAGTCAATAAATTACCAAGTGTTACCCAAAATTATTTACATTGTGTTTGGAGAAAATACATTGACTTGACTGAGAGGGGGGCATTAAATTAAGACTGCAACTGATTATTAATAATACAGCATTAATTACAACAATTAAAGACTCGAATTGGGGAAAATCCAACGCAAGGAGGTCAAGGGCACGACCTGCCGATGTTTCTATATACAAACATACTTACATACATGTGTGTGTGTGGGTGTACGTGTGTGCGTGTGAGTGGGTGTATCACTGTATGATATATAACGGTATAATGACTTCGTGGAAGGTGCCGCACGTCAAACCACAAAAACTGCGTTTGAAAAGGATAAAAAATGTAAAATGTTTGTAACTGCCAGTAGTATATCACTTTCTATCTCAGAGAAAGAGAGAAAAATAAAACAGAAAGCATTCCTGAGTCACTATTTTACGGGACAAATGTATATGTGTAAGACTATCTCTGTTCTTGCTTAAGCTTTTTGTCTGTGTTTAGCTATTCTTATTGTTTCTGTATTCTTTCCTTTCTTTCGTTTCTCTTATTTATTCTTTTCTTTTCTTTCATTTTCTAAGAAGCTGCATAAGCTTAGTCGTGATTACAAAATACATTCTGTTACTCATCTTAATTCGTATTATTATGATGACGATGGTGATGGTGATGGGGAAGATGATGATATGATGGTGATGGTGATGAGAATGATATGATGGTGATGGAAGATGGATGATATGATGATGGGTGATGGTGATGATGATAATGATATGATGGTGATGATAATGATTAAGAAGATATTCGCATACCACCCCCCTCTCTCTCTTCCTCTCTCTCTCTACTTCTCTCTCTAGTTCTAGCTCCCTCTCTCTCTCTCTCTCTCTCTCTCTCTCTCTCTCTCTCTCTCTCTCTCTCTCTCTCTCTCTCTCTCTCTCTCTCTCTCTCTCTCTCCTCTCTCTCTCTCTCCCTCTTATTTGCACAATCATGCACCTCTTCCTCTACCCCCTACCCCCTACCCCCTACCCCCCTCAGCATCAGAACGATAATATAATTAAAATAGCAATGGTAATCAAAGTGACAGTATTACAGATAATAAAAGATCAAAATGATGACACCAAAATATTGATAATAACAATAGTAGCAGTGTTATTATTATGATTATTATGATTATTATTATTAATAGCAATAATAATAAACAATAAGGACAATATAGAACGAAATAAACATTAACAGAATGTGAAATAACAATAATGAAATTAGATCACACCTGTATATAAACTCGATGCTAAAAATGTACCCATTCAAAATCTCTTTTTCCTTAGATTTAATTTATATTTGTGTTCTTATTTCGAGAACAGGTGTTTCACAACTACATTTCTTAGGTATTGGGAAATGAGATGATTCATGATACGTCGGGTTTATGTGAAATCAGCTGATTTCTGGAACGTTAGTGAAATAGCTGTACGTCAGCTGATTTCTGAAACGATACAGCTGATTTTGTGAAATCAGCTGATTCTCGGAGTGTATTGTGAAATCAGGCTGGCAGGGTGGTTTGTGTGATTTCTCTGAAGGCGGTTTGTGTACGGCGAAATCAGCTGATCTGTGTTTGTGAAATCAGCGATTTGGTTTGGTTGGCGAGCGTGAAACAGCTGCCTTTTCCGCTGAATAAAACAAACTTTTTATGGACGGGAGAAAAATTGAGAAACTGCACACTTGTACGTGTAACAAACTTTTGTTATAAATTTCGCTGAATTTTCAGTCATTGTTTTCCGTAGAAAATGAATAACTTTTGATATTTATTTTTTTCGATTTTCTCCTTCTTGATGTTAA